CCGGGAGCCCGACGTGGGACTCGATCCTGGGTCTCCAGGACCGCACCCTGGGCCAAAGGCAGGCGCCAAACCGCTGCGCCACCCAGGGATCCCTCCCATATGAAGTCTTAAAATTATTTGTCCAGGGCAGTCCCGGTGGCTCAGCGGTTTAGCGCCGCCTTCAGCCCAGGGCCTGATGCTGGAGTCCCGGGATCGAGTCCTGGGATCGAGTCCCACATCAGGCTCCGTGCATGGAGCTTGCTTCTCCCTCTGCCTGTGTCTCTGCCTCTCTCTGTCTCCCTCTCTGTGTCTCTCATGAATAAATAAATAAAAGCTTAAAAAAATAAATAAAATAATTTGTCCACAAGTTGTCTTCTATAAGAAATATCGTGTCTTTAACTTCTCTTTTACTGACAGATGGCATACTCTACAGAGGAAGTATTCCTTTGAGGAGCGGTATAGACTGAACTGTGTGCCCCCTTCCACCAACCCAATTCATATGTTGACGCCCTAACCCCTGGAACCATGGTATTTGAAGAAGAGGTTTTTTTGGAAACATCTAGGTTTATTTTATTTTTGTTTTTGTTTTTATTTTTATTTTATTAATTAAAAAAAATTTTTTTAACATCTAGGTTTAGATGAAGTCACGACGGGAGGATCCTTATGATGGGACGAGCGCCCTTTTAAGAAGAGCTAGAGAACGAGATCCTCTGCATTGAGGAAAGTCCTACGAAGACACAGTGAGAAGGCGGCCAGCCATCTGCAAGCTCTGAAGGGAGCTCTCCACAGAACGTGACCATGTTAGCCCCTACTGTCAGACTTCTGGCCTTCAGAACCATGAGAAAATACAGTTCTGTTTGGTAAGCCACCCAGCCTATGGTATTTTGTTTTGTCAGCCGGAGGTGAAACAAGGGAGTCCTAACAATGTTATTGTTATTACACTTCACTGACGATTTTTTTTAAAAAGATTTTATTTATTTCGTTGAGAGAGAGGGAGCCAGTGTGCGTGAGCTGGGGGCGGGGGAGAAGCAGACTCGACTCCCCACTGAGCAGGGAACCCCGGTCGGGGTAGGATCCCAGGACCTTGAGATCACGACGTGAGCCAAGGGCAGACGCTTAGCTCCCTGAGCCACCCAGGCGCCCCAAACATTTCTTAAGATTATTGTTATAAAAGACAGCAACGCCTTTTAGAGAAGTTTTGTGATTCTTGTACCTGGCGGTTGTCTTTTTCTCGTGGCATCCTTCTTCTCCCTCCCCTTGACTCCAGGCTTGACTGGGGAAGTTCAGGTTATCTGAGTAAAAAGACGTTGCTGTGTTCCCAGGCTCTGGCTACTGTTACAGTGTCTCATTTGGTATCCTTCCTATTTCTCCTGGCGCGTTTCCTTTTTCTTCACTCTATCTTTCTTCCAGGTAGTTCACCTTAAGGATAACCTGGAAAAAGAAACAAATGGTGTGCCATTGCCTCAGGCTCTACCCCCTGTCAACAGGTAAATCACCAAGCTAGGTTTACCGTTACAGCTCAATAAAATATTTGGAAGAAGAGAATGCACGTTTCCTGTTCTTATTTTGAAAAGCTTTTGTAAACATCTTAATCTCATAAGTTTGCATTTTATATCTAACGGGTTATTAATGGTCACATCATCTTGAGCCAGTTAATTAACCTCCTTGAGCCCATCATTCCGTATTCCTAGCAGGAAAAACTAACAGCAGCTGCTGCATTACTTCACAGGACTGTCAGACTCAGATGGAATAATAAAACTGGAATTTGTACAAGTGTTGGTTGTTATCTTGTTAGATGGGAAATACCTGCTTGTATTAACTTAGACAGATTGGCCACGTAGTTGACACATGGCACCAAAGTAGAGGCCTAGGTCCATCTTCCATGCCTGTTTGCATTTGGGGATTATTTCTTGATCACTTTGTACAAAAGAAGATTGGCTTACTTTAATAGTATGAATGATGTATGTCGGGAGTAAATGAGTGTAGCACAAATCTACGGGATAGTGCTCCCATAATCTCTAAGGGTACGCTAGGAACTTGGAACTTTCAAATTTCTTTTGACAAAGTGCTTCCTTTTTTTTTAAAAAAAAAAAAGGTTTTTTTTGTTTTGTTTTGTTTTTAATTTCAGATAGAGAGAGTGAGAGAGAAAGAGTGCACAGATGTGGGAGAGAGAATCTCAAGTAGACTCCCCAAGCAGGGTTTGATCTAAGGACCCTGAGGTCCTGAGCAGGGCTGAAATCAAGAGCCGGATGCTGAACTGACTGAGCCACCCAGGCGCCCCAACAAAATGGAGTACTTTGCTTGAGAGAATGTAGGTGTATTTTGTGGAGAGAAAAGCTCGCTGTTTTTCCCTTTTTCTTTTTTTTTATAAGCAGTAAGACTTCAAGTGGGGAAAGAAGGAAAGGGAATACTTTTCCTGCTTAAAACTCTAATTGAAGGCCTCAATTCTACACTTTCTCCATGGGTTGTGTGTGTGTGTTGGCATGCGCACGCATGGGTGTAAGTGGGGCTAGGGAAGCAAGGTGAACACGCAGAGTGAGAGGAAGAGAAAGAGAAGAATTAACACATGTAAGGGTGACACTGGGATATTTACTCTATCTCAGATGTGAAATTAAAGGTCCCCAGAAATTTTATTTTCCTTTTCTTCTGTCCTCAAACTCCCACTGGATAAATCCTGGTTTGTTTTTTTTTTTCTATGAAATGTACGTTAGCCTCAGACTGCCGTCATTTTGAAATAACTTGCCCTCTCATTTTAATGGAAATATATGATCCTTTTTTTTTCATAGAAATATACATTCTTTTTCTTAAAGGCATCATTACAGTTGCTGCAAGCCTAAATGGTGGAACAAATATTTACTTGTAGCAACAGAGATATGTACCGAACAGAATAAAGTTCTGGTGTGGGGGGGAAATGTCACACTGCTTTGGAAACATGAAAAATATTAATCAAATATAAACATCTGAAATGTGGCAGTGATGGGAAACCTAAAAATTAACTGTACTTGGTGTATAACATAGCAGATGAAGAAGTGTGATTTTCCTGCTTGTGTTGAGACATTAGGATGCAAAAGGACGAGTTTGGTTGAGACGCCTGTGGTTTTTTTCTTCATTAGTGTGATCTTTTTTCATATTGCCAAATTTTTCTTACAATCGAATGATATGAACATCTCATTGGCTTCCTACCTGGGTTACTTGCCCGTTTAAATCTATAGCAATCTCTAGGCCTAATTTTAACATGAGTCGTTATGTAAGTGTTCAACACTGTAAACCCTTATTCCTATTCATATCTAAACCTGTGCTTTGATCATATATCTATATATGTTACATCTCTTAAACATCGATGGGAAGTTTGAAGGGTGGGTAGGAGGCGTTCTTCATCTAAACTGTGTTTTTTGAGGCGGAGAATATAAAATGGCTTGTTGTTTGTGGAAGACAATATTCAGAGTTCCTTGTATGTCAGACGTTTCTTTCACGTGTGGAGATCGATTAGCTTCGTTTCCCGTCTGGTATCGGACCCTGCGAGAGATCAGAAACTTTCGGATATGTACTTTGATTAGGCAAATTATTCTCTCGTCCGAGCACGCCAAAACCTTCGTTGCTTCGGAGTCTCTAAGAAATGATGGTGGTGCGGCAATCACAGAGACAGTACTCTTATTATCTGCCGTCACTTCTTCAGCTCCAGTTCAGGAGAGAGTGTGAAAAGAGAGGTTGAAAGAAAAAAATGTAAAAAAACCCTACCGTAATAGAGAAACAAAACCAGCGTCTTTGCATGTAAGTACACCTCTGAGGTTTACACATCAACCTTATCATCAGTCCAGTAGGGAGGGAGGGAGAAAAAAGATACTTCCTCCATTACTTTCAAGGGCATTTGGTTCACTGGAGACTTTTGCGTTGTTCCTGAGAGTGGGCGAAAACAAAACAAAACAAAACAAAAAAAAAACAGACGGAGAGACTCACGTTCCTGGATAAAGCGTATCGTAACAGAAAGATGTTTGATAAATGAATATTTAATCGGGGCCAGGCTGTGATTTTTCTTCATGCACACCTTCATGTTTGCCTTTTCAAAGAACTTTAGACAAAAGTAACACTGGGTAATAACGAACAGTTAAGAAGCCGTATTTGCAGAGTGCCCTACAAACAGCTTCGTGGTGGATGGATTCCTACAGCGGTTTTCCAAGGTGACAGATGTTCATCCCACTGAAGCAACTGCCCCGAGAGAGTGGGGACTCTTCTGCCTTCGCCGTGTGGGCAGACGGGACTGGCATGGCAGGTGGTGTCAGAAAGCACCGGTTCTGCTCTGGGTCCTACAGCTTGAGCAGCTGAGCGATGCTTGGCCTCTGGAAACTTCGGCAGGTTCACTGGAAACACCGAGACAGTAAGTATCAGGTCATACAGTTCTGGGCATTACCTGAACCCACAAACGGGGTTCTCCGTAGACAATCCATGGGATGCGAAGGGCAGGCAGCCCCAAGCCGCAGCTGCAAGCGGCTGCATCCCTGCTGCAGCACTGGGGTCACACAAAAAAGGGAGCGTGTGCGCGTGCGTCCGGGGGGCCCTAAAATTCTGCACCTGGAGGGCTGTGCCGGGCCAAGCCTGGGACCCAGACTTGGCACAAGGGCGCCCTGGGGCTCTTCGCTCACCCAGGCCGCGGAGTGGTCAGTCGCCCTCCCTCGGCACGGGAGCGCTTGCTTCCGGTCGTCCCCCGAGACCCGGCCGACCCGGTCCCGGCCCGGCCCGGCCCGGCCCGGCCCGGCCTCGCCTCGCGCAGAGAAGCACCCCCGCGGCCACCGCCACCCCGCGCTCGCCCTCCCGCAGCGCTCGCGCGGAGGCGGGAGGGGGCGTGGCCTGGCTTTTCTAGCCTCGCCGGCCAATGAGCGTGCCGCGCCCCTTCCGGTCGGCGAGCCGGCCAATCCGCGCCGGGCGCTGTCATCTTCGGCTCCGCTCGGCTCTCTTCGCGGCCGCGGGGGCCTGGGGGCCGCGGCCGCTCGGGAGACGCTTTCCTTTTTCATTTTTTTTCCATGTGTTCACTTCCGGGTCCGGCGCCGATCCGGATGCCCGAGGCAGAAGGATGTTTGACCTCCGGATAAGCGAGGCGCCGCTGTGCATTCATTCCCGGCCGCATCGGTGGCGGCCGCAGCGACCCGGGCGGCGACTCTCCGGCCAGAGGCGGCGGTAGGAGGCCCCGGCAGGCGTGCGGGGAGCGCGTCGGCGCCGAGCTGCGTTCCCTCCCTCGCTCGCTGCTTCCCCCCTGCCTCGCTCGCCCGCCCGCTCCCTCCCTGCGTGGCTCGCTTTCCTCCTCCGGTCGCCGGCGGCTGTGATGTGCCGCCGCCGCCGCCGCCGCCGCTGACGGACGGAGCAGGGGCGCCGCCCGCGCCCGGGACCGACCCCGCAGCTCGCGGCCGCGCCTCCGAGGTAAAGCCCCCCTCCCGCGGCGGCGCGCGGCCGGCGGCTCGGTCCTTCCCGGGCGGGGCTGGGTGGGCCGGGGTCGCGGGCCGGGGCGGGCCGGGGCGGGCCGGGGGCGGCGGGGGCGGCGCCGCAGGGGGGCCGCGGCGGGGAGGGGAGGGGCGGGGCGGGGCGGAGCGGGGCGGGCGGGCGAGCGAGCGAGCGAGCGCCGGGCCCGGCCGGGGCGGGAGGGGCAGCGGCCGCGGGGGGCGCGGGGGCGCGGAGGGCCGGGGAGGGGGCCGCGGGCGGCGGGCCGGGCGGGCGCCGAAGTTGCGGAGCGGCGCTGCGCGAGCGGGCGGCGGGGCGGCGGGCGGCGGCGGCGGGGCGGCGGGCGAGCCGGGGGGAGGCGGCGGCGGCTGCGGCGGGGAGGGGTGCTGAGGGCGGGGTGCTGTCGCGACCGCGTCCAGACCATTAGCCCCGGGAGGGAGGGGGGGTTGGGGCCGGAGGGCGGCGCGGAGGAGGGGTCGGGGCCGGCGCGCCCGGGGGTCCAGCTTCCCGCTGGGGTGTGTGTGGGGGGTGTGTGGGGTGTGTGGGGGGTGTGTGGGGTGGGGGGCAGGGGTTCCCCTATTGGGCGGGGCAGGGCAGGGCAGGGCAGGGCCGGGCCGGGGCCTTAGCGCAGAACTTGAGCGCGGCGCGAGCCGGGGGTCAGGCAGCCTCCGCTGCCTGCTGGGAGGGGGCCGGCGCGTTGTTCGTGGCACATGCAGGGGAAGTGACACGCCGAGGCGTCGGTACTCCTGGAGCTCGGCTGCTGCCTCTCTTTCCGGGGGGCGGTGATGGAGATGTGTGCGTGCGCTCTGGGGCGTGGGCAGGCGGGCCTGTAGTGGGATCATTCCAGGCCTCCGGGGCGGGGGAGAGACAGACCGAGACAGGGAGTGCGCGTGGGAGGTGGCTACTGTGGCTGCGCCGTGCGGATTAGGTGTGACTCGGTGGTAACGAGTGTGGAGGCTGGCCAGCCTGCCGGTGACCCCCTTTTAACCTTTTGTTTTAGCGCGTCGCCTTTAGTTGGAAGATTAAGAACCTACGGATTTCGAAGAGGTCGAGAAAAGAAGTGGATGCTTGTTCCTTGAGCAGTTCCTAGTGAAATGACATTTGCTGACAGTGAAAGATGTTGAAGTACATCGAACTTGGAACGTTTTTCGAAATTAGAAGTCTTTAGTTTTTCAGTCCGTGCATCCATATTTTGGGGAATACATGCTTTCCCTGCAGGGAAAAGTGGAAGAAAAACAAGCACAGGTTATTGCTTGGTTATGAGTTTAGGGTTCGAAAGATGTAAGGCCGGTTTTAGAGAACATTTTCCACCGAAAATCGGACGTAGTTCGGGACATTGTTCTTACCTTCCTTGGGGGTGGGGTGGAGAGTTCTGGGTAGCGTCGTCTCATGACTACGTCCAGACTTTGCTTCAGCTGTGGTTTGAGCTCAGCTAAAGTACATTTTGTCTATATTAGCCTTCCTAGTTGCCCATCAGGTGGGAACCGTATTGATAGGCACTGAAAGAAGCCTACCATCAGACAAACTGTGTGGCTTTGGCATGGCTGCTCTGGAATGTGCAGACACCACGGCTTCCAGGGGAGCTTGCATTTCTGGATATGCATCAGGTATTCCTAGTTCTTATTGGGATGGGGGACAGAAAGGTTCATTTTAATGTTGATAGGTCTGAGGCTCTGTGGGCGGGACTTAGAAAATGATAGTCTTCAGTGCTGCTTTATAGTGTGCTCAGTGACGTCTCCCGCCGCTCATCAGCTCAAGAATCAGTACATTATGTCATTATTGATATTTTCATTGTTAACTTCCCAAAGCGTTGGCTGTTAACAAAATCTCCACGACGGTATTCATTGATTCCTTCAACTAAAAAGACAGGAATTCTAGTCTAGGTGTAGTGTAGTAGCTTTAGCATGTGCAAGGGATGTTTACTCTGTTGTGAGGACGGAAGAGCGGTTAAAACGAAGATGAATCAGACCCAGCCGTCACCTTAAATGGAGAAGCAGACACGCACTGAGATAGTTGTAACTCAAGACACCTGTGGGATTTACTACAGGTGCATGGAAGCCCGGTGTGTGTGTATGTATGCGTGTTTGTATGCGTGTGTGTGTGTGTGTGTGAGGAGGGAGAGAGAGAGAGAGAGAGAGAGAGAGAGAGAGACAGATCTTTTTTGACTGGGGAATTCTGAATTACTTTGGAGTTGGCAACACTCCATTTGGGCATTCAAATATTATAGTGTGCCTAATGGGATTTGGCGTGTGTGTGTGTGTGTGTGTGTGTGTGTGTGTGTGTATGTACGTACGTGTGTGGGGAGTTAGTGTTCTAGGCAAAGAAAACAGCTGCAGCACAGGCACGTTGGTTGGGTCTTACCGGGGCGTGTTAGCTGGATGTGAGGCTGTGCCAGGAGGTCTTTGTGAGAGAGGAAGCTGAGAAAATAGGTGGAGATCAGGCCATGGACGTCCAGAATGCCTTGCATTTAAAAATGAGTCAGTTTGAGGTATAAAGTTCCAAATGTCCAGATGTTATGCTTCTAGGAAGTAGGTAAGGCAAGTAAGGATAGTAGGTTCAAGGAAACAAAGTATAACCGAATAATCAACCTGTTACCATTTGTGCTAATGGAGGAATGTGGAGAAGTTCCTAATCAGCAACAATCCATACCTGGCTTTGTCCTGTTTCTGTACTTGAATTTGAATATGGGTGTGTGTGTCCGGAAATCTGGTCATTGGTTGTATATGAAATGAATCCGGCCTGTAAAGATGATCCTCCAGAAGAGAAGAGAAGCTCTCTATTTCTCTGTAATCCCCTCCATACCGGCAGTAGGGTAGTTTTCTGGTGTAGTTGATTGATTCAGAGTTTCTCCGAAGGGAACAAGTGGTGGTTCAAGTGTCAGAGGGTTTCCCCAAAGGATGTATTTTTAAACTTTATTCATGAGCGACACACAGAGAGAGAGAGAGGCGGAGACACAGGCGGAGGGAGAAGCAGGCTCCATGCCGGGATCCCGATGTGGGACTGGATCCCTGGTCTCCAGGATCTAAGCCGCTGAGCCACCCAGGGATCCCGGCAAAGGATACTTCAAACTAAATAGAGGGATTGCTGAAATACTAAACAACAAAACTAAACAAGACACGGGTCATTGGAGAATTACTATTAATGTGAGATTCACTACGGATAAAGTGAAATGTAAGGCATCTACCTACAGGGAGGGGAGAATTGACCATAACAGTGGGATCATAAAATGGGAGATGTCCACAGTTCTGGATAATATGTGGAAGGTCTTTAGTTATCTTAGATGTTAAATGACCCTAAAATCATTTAATCCTAAACTTTATCGCTACCAAAGAATACTCCGAGAAGTACCGCCCTCACGGTAACAGTGGTCATGTCCGTGTGGACTCACATTACAAGGAAGATTGCATGATGGATTTTGCCAACTATTCCCCTGTAGGTGTTCAAAAAGGATTTCTGTAACTGATTTTGTATTACGGTGAACCCCCTCAATGACAGCACTAATACCTGTTAAAATTTTTTAAGTGCCTACTTTCTTGTTGTTTTTTAAGAGGTTTTATTTATTCATGAGAGAACAGAGAGAGAGGCCGAATCATAGGCACAAGGAGAAGCTGGCTCTGTGTGGGGAGCCCAGTGCGGGACTTGATCCCAAGGCCTTGGGATCAGGCCTTGAGGGAAAGGCAGACATTCAAGTACTGAGCCACCCAGGCGTCCCGTAGCGGGGTATATTTTTAAATCGTTATTTTTTTTTTTGCCCCCGACTTCAGAGTTTAAGACTCTGAAGTTATCTTTTTTTTTTTTTCCTTATTTTTTTCTGATCTTCCGTTCTCTTCCTCTTTCACGTTTTCCCGAGGTTGGCACTTTGTGATACTGATTCGTGTTGTTAGTATGTGTTTGGGTGTTGGTTCTTCAAGATGGAACTTTTTTGGAAATGACCATTTGGTGGATGTCTGTAGCTCTTTAATTGTAGAGATCCCATAGGAACGACAGTAAGGTTCTAAGTGACTAAAGACACCTCAGCGTATCCTTTCGTGTTGATCAACAGGTCAGAACCGTGTTTGGGTTTCACGTTTGTGTAGAAACCAAGTGTGTATTATCCATGGATGTGAAGTGACTTTGGAGAGGTACTGCATTACTCAGAAAATACGAATTGGGAGAGGTATGAAGACAGATAAGGTCTACAGACACATTAGAGGCTGCCAATAGACACTTTTTTTTTTTTCCTCGCTGCCTTCTTAAAGCTGGGATTTAGAAATCATAAGTGTATCCTAAATTGTAGGTTTTCCTACTGTTATCGAGGTGAATAGCGATTTGTTCTTAAACTATCGTAGGTGCTTGGTTACATTATACTCTGCCCTGCTGCTCCCTGCCCATCATCTTTGTAATGAGAAAGGATTCTTAGTGATCTTGAAGTGTTTATGGATTTGGTAGAGAAGACAGCCCCTTTGGACATTTTCTTGACTAATAATAGATCCTACAGTTATAATTTAATTTGACGCAAGTCTATAGTTGAGTTATATCCGCATCTGCCTAAATCTACATCCACGTATTTTATAGCTTTCACTGCAATTTAGTAAAAATCTTATGATGCTCTTTTTCCTAGGACACCTGTGAGTTGTTGGAGGGTTGATCGGTGGGTAGAATAAAGAGTGACTCTTGAGAACAGAGTATCTTAGGAGATTCTGTTTAACTCACCTGTTCAACCCACTGAAAAGATTGATACTCTTCCTTCATTTACTGGTTTATGCGCATGCTATATTAAATTGCAGTAGACCACTCTCTAGTTTGTGTTTGAATTTTTATTCCCTTTTGTTATATTATGCTTACAAAAGTTATTTGTGTTTGCCCCCAACAAGTTGTTGGTGGCACTTGTACTTGGGTGTTGCAGTTACACAGTTCGACGAAACGTTCAGTGCACTACGGATGCAAAAAGTTATTTGTCTAAGAACCTCAGGCTCTTTTGAAAACAGGTGAGTCCATCCAGTAAATTATAGTTAAAATAAGTGTGGGTGAGATAATTTGAAATAATGAGGGGAACCCTCATTGAATCCTAAATATCAAAAAACATTCTGCAGTAAGATGCTTTTCAGTTTTACGGATGTCTTTCCCCGTTCAACTGACATGAAAAGTCATAGGCGATGTACGGTAGGTGTGGTTTTTGCAAGAAGGACAGATTTGTGATCTGTAGACCCATTCGTTAATAAAAGGACTTGGTCTTGCATTAAAAGATTGTTTTGGGATTGTACAATTTTTATTGTTTAAGTTGCAATAAGATGTTTAAGACATGTAGATTTGTTATATGTTCTTTTTGAGTTTTCTTCTTTTAAGAGTTTTAAAATTTATTTGAAAGAGAGGGAGAATGAGGGAGCAGGGGGAGAGGTGGAGGGAGAGGGGGAAAGAGAATCTCAAGTGGACTCAATGCTGAGTGCAGAGCCGGATGTGGGGCTGGATCTCAGGACGCTGAGATCTTGACCTGAGCTGAATCCCAGAGCCAGAGGCTTACCTGACTGAGCCACCCTGGTGCCCCAATGATTCATTCCCCTTTGAAACCGCCTTGGGAACTCTTGGTTAACTATATATTAAAAGAGAGTATCTGTTTCTAAAATACCATCTCTTTTATATTCTGTCTTAGAGATTGATTTCCTAGTGTCTTCTTATAAAAAAGGAGATGAATTCTGGTATTCCTGACTGTATTCATTGCTACCTTAGGGTGAATTGTTCCACTGTCTTGTCAGATGAGTAACCTCTGGTTCTCACAAATTTTCCTGTGTGGCCCCTGATATGATTTTGTATTTTACCTTTCAGTTTTTACATAGAGGGGAACCTTCTTAGACTGCCAGCATCTCCTCAACCTGAGTAGGGGCTGCTGGAGTGCATTGGTAGAGGAAATTGTCCCTTGGAAGAGGAAATGCCATACTCTTGATGTGTACCAGGAGCATTTGGGCTTGGTGCAAGGCATGCTGGTCTAACAGCTTAGGGGAGCTGCCTCTTGTCTTGCCCAGCTCAGCTAGAGCGAAAAGGAAAACTTTTAGGACTTTTAGGTATAGGAAAGGAGGTCCAGGTTGGCGAAGGAAAGCTAGGTAGGGTGTACTATTTATTTGATGTCACTGTATTTTAATGCCTGAAATGGCAGTAGTTTCTGGTACGGAACAGTGAAATATTTATGTAGGACTAGGTTTTCTGAGCTTTGCCCTGCCTTTCTGTGATTTTTTTTTTTTTTTTTTTTTTTTTGGCTGTGCTCTCTTCTTTGTGTTGGATTCATCCTCAGACTGGTAGCAAGGTCACATCTAGACATGCATTGGCCAGGAAATGTTTTGCACAAGCTTACCAGCATACTTTTCCTTTCATGTTTTATTGACCAGAATTAGGTCATGTGTATTTCCTAACCAGTCATGACAAGGGGAATAGGGTTATCATGGTTGATTTCTGTTAATCAGGATATGTCCCCTGAAGTTGGGGATGGAGTCACATTTTCCCGAGTCACAGTGTGGAGGGGAGGATATGTTAAAAAATTGTGGGAAGGAAGAATTTGGGGGAAATGGATGTTATTAGAAAGGCAATCAATAGTGACCACTACATCTACTTGTTTTGAGAATGAAAATAAATAATG